TATAGGAGTTACTCTCTATCAGGCTGCCTGGTTGCTACATGCATGTGTGCATACACACACATACATGTGGTAACCCTTGCTTGATTGGCTTCTTCCTTATGTGGACTTTTCATATTTTAATGTGAACTTGAGTCAGTAGAAAGATTTTTTTTTTTCTGGTTTTGCACCTTCTGGAGAGGTTGCTTGTGTCTGAATGTTTTTGTCCTCATCCTCTTCCCACAGTTGCAGTCCACTTAGCTTCTAGCTATGCCTCTTCATTCTGCGGTCTACTCATATTGTAGACTTCTCAAACCAACTGGTATTCCTAGCAGTATTTTGTGCCATGTCAGAAGTCAGTATTAGTACTTATATTGCCAGACTTCTTCTGGTGAGATGTTGGTCACTGATTCTTAACTTATTTTGGGCTCTGTGAAGCTCTTGCATTACTTTTATAGGTAGTTAAGGCAGATTTTCTTCATTTTTTCCATATTTGAAATGTTGATACAAAAATCACTGGTTGGGTTACGGATTCTGTAATTATGGAATTCATAATATTCACAGATGTGTGTTGTTTCTTATTTACTATTGTTTTGTTAATGTACAAATACTGGACAAATATATTGTTCACAATATAAAAGGGATGTTTGTCATCTTTCAGCATCTCCAACATATACAAGTCCATTGTCAGGAAGAAGAATCTCTTTAAATACATACACGCCTGCAAAAATCCAGCCAACACCACTTACAAACTTGACTGAAAAGCTAACAAAAGAAAAAACAACCTCATGTAAGTAACTTCTGTCACAGAGGCAGAGTAACTCATTTTCACTTAAACATTTTCCAGAATAGATAAGCTTGCCATTGGTGTGCTGAACAGTTTCACAAAGAATATTATGAAATAAAACTCCTATCCATGTAGGGGATAGTCACAAAAAAGGTAATTATGGTATTTTACAAATAATACTTCAGTACCAAAACCCTTCTGTTGCTCTTAGAAGTTTTTGAGACTATTGAATTGGCTGGAAAGTTCATGTACCTGACCTTAGCAAAAGAAGTACATTTCTGAGCAGTTTCAGAATACCTTTCCCCTGGTTCTAAGCTAGTGGAGCAAATGAAATATTTGTCTGCTTTGTCTGAAGGAGTTACTGAGGTAAAAGTGAATATGGACAAACAGCAAATGTTACTGTGATGCTGTACCTCACAATCAGGTAGAATACAGACACTTCCTTAAAATTTTGTCTTGGCAATTATATACTTGCAATGTATATATGTAGTACACTGAATTAGCATCCCTGTGCTTCAAAATGGCAGTGGGGGCACTTAATCTAAAGCTTGTCTAATGACATTTTGAAGCATGGGGATGCTGATGCATGAGATGTGGGAAGCTGCTAGAATACAGTAATTGTCACACTCCAACAGACTTGATTAATCAATACTGCTCCAATGCACTGGACGATGTGCTGGAATTCCAGTGCATCAGAGCAGCCTCCCTGGTCATGTATAGTTTGTCCTAGTTCTCTCCTATCTCCACATCTGCATCTGTTCAGTAGCACTTAGTGAAAAGCTAAATAATTTTAAAAAAGAAAGTTTCTCTAAAAATCATTTGTAAAAGCAACACTGTTTTTCCCAGTGAAGTTTTTAATGCAGTGTCTAGAGCACGGACACTCAACCTTTTGGTTGTGCAAGTCAGATTGGACCCTGCATGCTAGGATCAGATCCCATTCCCACATACAGAAATCAGGCTTACGAAGTCCTGCACCGCCTCTGTGCATTGGGGATCAGGCCTCATGCTACCATGCGTGCCTGACCTAGCGCACAGAGTTATAGCTGCAGGTCTGGCTTGTGGGCCAGTGTTGACTACCCCTGCTGTAAACCGCTCAAGACCCATAAACATATTAAATCATAGACTCATAGAACATAAGGGTTGTTAGGGACCTTAGGAGGTCATCTAGTCCACCTCCCTGCTCAAAGCAGGACCATCCCCAACTAAATCATTCCAGCCTGGGCTTTGTCAAGCTGGGCCTTAAAAACCTCCAAGGATGGAGATTCCTCCGCCAATCTGGGTAACCTGGTCCAGTGCTTCACCACCCTCCTAATGAGAGAATTTTTCCTAATATTCAACCTAAACCTCGCTTGCTGCAACTTGAGATGATTGCTCCATATTCTGTCATGTGTCACCAGTGAGAATAGTCTAGCTCCATGCTCTTGGGAACCACCCTTCAGGTAGTTAAAGATCTGCTATCAAATCCCCTCTGTCTTCTCTTCTCCAAACTAAATAAACCCAGTTCCCTCAGCCTCTCCTCATAAGTCATGTGCCCCAGTCCCCAAACCCTTTTTGTGGCTCTCCACTGTACTCCCTCCAACTTGTCCAAATACTTTCTATAGCGGGGGGTCCAAAGCTGGACACAGTAGTTCAGATGTGACCTCACCAGTGCAGAATAGAAAGGAATAATTACTTCCCTCTCTGTGCTGGCAATGCTTCTACTAATTTAGCCCAGTATGCTGTTAGCCTTCTTGGCAACAAGGGCACACTGCTGACTCATATCCATCTATTGTCCACTCTAACCCCCAGATCATTTTCTGCAGAGCTGCTGCTTAGCCAGTCAGTCCCCAGGTGTAGCAGTGCATGGGATTCTTCTGTCCTCAGTGCAGGACTTTGCACTTGTCCTTGTGGAACTGCATGAGATTTCTTTTTGCCAAATCCAATTTGTCTAGGTCACTGTGAATCCTAGCCCTGCCCTCCAGTGCATCTACTACACCCCTCAGCTTGGTGTCATCTTGCAATCCATCTTGCAAGAATGTTTCAGGCTGGACATAAGAGAGAATTTATTCACTGTCCGAGCCCCCAAGATCTGGAATAGCCTGACATCGGGGGTGGTTCAAGCACCTACATTGAACACCTTCAAGAGCAAATTGGAGGCTTATCTTGCTGGGATCCTGTGACCCCAGCTGACTTCCTGCCCTTTGGGCAGGGGGCTGGACTCGATGATCTTCCGAGGTCCCTTCCAGCCCTAATGTCTATGAAATCTTTGAAATCATCTTCCGTATTACTAATGATGATATTGAACAAAACCAGCCCCAGGACTGACCCTTGGGGCGCTCCACTTGATACTGACTGCCAGCTAGACACTGAGCAATTGATTACTACCCATTGAGCCTAACAGTCCATTCATCCAACCCGTTCTTCCTCAGCTTGCTTACAAGAATGCTATGGGAGATGGTATCAAAAACCTTGCTAAAGTCAAAGTATATTATGTCCACTGCTTTTCCTGCATCTACAGAGCCAGTTATCTCATCAGAGAAGGCAATCAGGTTGGTCAGGCATGACTTGCCCTTGGTGAATCCATGCTGACTGTTCGTAATCACTTTCTCTTCTAAGTGCTTGGAAATGGATTCTTTGAGGACCTGCTCCATGATTTTTCACTGAGGTGAGGCTGACTGGTCTGTAGTTTCCTGGATCTATGGTGCAATGGAGTCTGATCCTTGATCCGAAAAATTGTGCCTCCTGCCATATCGTGTGCATAGCAGGACATGATTTTAGGATCAGGAGTCGGATCGTAATGGCATCATTGCTACTTGCCATTCAGAGGGAGCCCAGGATCAAGGTCCCAAGCTCTCCCTGTATAGACAAGTTGCAAGCCAGAGCCTGCAGCCTGGCCCTGGGCCGAGGGATAATCTGTCCCACGCCAGTCTTGAAATGGCTTCAACGTGTTCCCAGGCTGGAACCAACAGTCAGTTGCTTGTCAGTCGGTCCCAGGGCTTGGGATGGCACCAAAGTCTAGAACCAACTCTGGTGCAGTCCTGGGCCTGGGCCAGACAATCAGCTGTTTGTCTGTTACAGCTCCAGGACCGCTCAGGAGTCTAGGACTTCCTCCAGTTTGTTGCTGTTCTGCCACATGTTCAATTTAAGGTATGACGGAGACCAGCCACAAAAATATTCCAGAACAAGATGAGTAGTATTTTTGTGGCTGGTTTCCTGTTTTGTTATGCCATGAATTCCGCATGTTAAGGTGTACTATCTGCAGTGTGATTTAACAGGGTAATCAGATCTTAAGTATAACATCTGCCGGGCATAACGTCATCTTTGAGCCAGTTTATATTGTCCTCTTCTAGATAGCTAAGCTATCTGAGGGCTTTGTGAATGTAGTTGCATTCTTAGAAACCTTGACAGGTTCAGGTGTTTGTATTAGAGCACCGTTAATCTTGAAGCTTGTCTTAATATTATATGCCTTGTGCCTTTGCTTGAGTATCTCAGTCTGTCAGAGCTGAGTTTCATTATCATAGTACCACTCACCACAGTATCACGCATCACAAACTGGATTGCATATTTTTCTTTCCCTCTCACTTCTCTATACAAAACATCCTATCAGCCTTTAGGAAGTGTGATTACACTTATCCTATACCTCCTGAAAAGATCATAGCTGGCAAAGTTTAGTGCATCTGGTTTAACCACTAGTTTTCATTTCCTACAAGAACATATGTTGTCATTCTCCAGGCTACTAATAGATATGGCTTATGATAGCTCTGTTCTTAGGAGCGTCCCCCGTCTTCTACAGGGCATATCGGCTTTAGTTTTTCACTCTGCACTACAC